TATCCTTTATTGCTACAGATTTAAGCTTCTTTTGACTAGGACCCACAGCAAATGGGTGTATTACACCTTGCTGTGAGTAAGGTGAAAAGCTTGCTTTTCTCTTCTTTTGTACCTTCAGATGTTTTTGATGCTTCATGGCACTATGTTGGTTTGCATAAATACAGATAAATATTTCCTCTCTGTATTAGGGTCTACCCCTCATGCAGACAGGAAAACCCAGCTGTGGAACCCCAAAGCCCTTTTCCAGGGAAACAGTCAGGGGATCTGTCTAAATGATAGGAGCAGGAACTTAACAGGTACTGTTTCAAGTACCCTACAAACCTCAGGGTGACCCTAGAGGCAGGTCAGCTCAAGGAAAGACTGGAAGTCATCATTGCTATAGAGGAATCTAGGTTAACCAGTCTGGGCCTACTCTCAGCGTCAAGGATTTCTCCCAGCCCTGAAGAAGGGATGGGATGGACTCTTTTCTGCCAGGATATTTTTGTGGAAAATGAGGCCCAAAGTCACATCCAGTTCAACCTGAAGGCTCAAGGCCATCCAGTTCGTCGTGGGACATCTTATGGCCAGGCCTGGGTAACTCTGACGTGCCAGATAAGATTAATGCCATTATTGGTGTGTCTCCTGTCGTTAGCTGACCCCCAGGACTTTGCAGTAAATAATGGGATAACCCAAATGGAGAGTTCTCTAATCTTGCTGTGTTTATGCAAAAGGACAAGCCAGGTTTGTTAAGCTATCTGGCAAATTTTTAAAATGAAGGTGGAGAGAAAACCATGTTTCTGTAACTTGTTTCTTGTAAGAATCAGATTCTAATTCTACAGAGGTGATTGGGTACATGTGTGAATTGGCCAATGTTGCTTTGGTTTCTGTTGCTTTAACTCTTTTTAAGACTGCATCGAGAAATCTCTAACATTCCTGTCCAAGATAGTCTTTCAAAACCGAGAGGACTCGACCTTCGACCTGTTGTTCTCAAGAACGAAGGGCTCTGCGCTGCTCTGATGGAGGCATGCTGTTTCTACGCTGACCACCCTGAGGTTGTCAGAGACTCTATAGTGAAGGTGTCAGTGGTGGTGGCAGCGATGGCAAGCAGGCGGCATTGCTGGGACTGTTTTGCACTGGGGCCAGCATCAAAATGTCCTCTCCAATGACTGTGCTACTGCATGGACTGTATACTCGATTTCATGTGTATGTCGCAGTAAACAAAACCAAACTTTTTTTTTCTGTTTAGTTGCCTGGGGAAGAAGGCTGCTGGGTGAGCAGTGTTACGATTGGAACAACGAAGGAAAGAGAGGGAGTCCCGAGAAGGGTGGTTTGAATCCTGGTTTAATCAGTCACCCTGGTTAGCAACTCTCCTTTCGACCCTAGCTGGACCACTCTTGATACTTCTAACTCTGTTTACCTTGGGACCCTGTATCCTCAATAAATTAGTTACGTTTGTTAAGGAATGAATGAATTCTATCCAATTTCTAGTGCTGAGACAGCAGTATCAGGCTTTACCCCATGAGGAAGAAAGTTCCACCTAAGAATACCTCTAGGATTAGAGATATGCACAAGAAGAAGTGGGGAATGAAAGGAGCTAGGAAGGCTAGGAAGGAGTTAATTAACTTGCAAAATTGCTTTCTGTAAACGGTTCAGCAGCCTTGAGATTACAAAATTGGACTGAACCCAGTAGATGTGTAAGGTATGGGTTAAACATAACTATTTAAAGATAGATAGAGTGTTTTGACCATTCTGGAAACTGAAACTATGTGACCAGGTCAAGGTGTTTGAGTCAAGATACTGCAAGAAAAACTGTAAGGAACCTAGCAAAACATGTATGTGAAAAATATGTGGGAAAAATATGTGGTCTTTGTTCTCAAACTGTATAAAAGATGACCTGTTTCTGAGTTTGGGGCTCTCAGCCTCTGCTCGCTCTTGGGTATGTTGCAGAGCCCCAGCATGCTGGCTTGAATAAAACCCCGCTTGAATTTCTGCAGGAACGTTGTCTGTCTGGTCTCTCTGTGCCTCCCAGGGTTAGGGAACTCCTGACCCCAACAATGGGAGGAAATTTTAAATACTGATGATTAACAATAATATTTTGAGTGTTAACTATGTTCTAAGTACACCAAACATTTTACATACTTTATCTTGTTTTGTGAAGCCTCACGATGTATTTAAGAAAAGGGTATCACTGTTATCTCCATAATTTGCCCCTGGTCACATAGACAGTGGTCGAGCCTTGACTACAGGCCTCTGAGCCCAGAACCTAAATCCCTCACTAGAGGAAGTAATAAGTCAAGATTTTACTTAACTCATCTTAATGAATCTAATTAAAAGTACAGTGCAGAGGGTAATCTCTCCAGCTTGTATGATCTGTATGTTCTTTTTATTTTTTATTAAATCAAAAGTTACTCGTGTACCAAAAGGAGAGAGAGAACAGGGGGGAATGCCCTGCCACAGTGGCAGGGTGGGATTGGGGTGATGGGGGGGGGAAATATTATCCATAGTGGTGGAAAATGGGCACTGGTGGAGGGATGGGTATTTGATCATTGTATAAACGAAACCCAAGCACAAAAATTTGTAAATCTACAACTGTACCTTATAGTGTTTCACTAATAAAAAATTTTTAAAAAATGTTACTCGTGTATCAGAGATGTTTACTGCTGTGTATCAGAGATGTTTACTGCTTCTCATATTAATTGCACTTTTGTTCAGTTAATAATTTCCCCTCCATTTGAGTGACAGTCTCTGCCGCCATAATGATAATTTTTTAGCAATTGAATCTATCAACTTTTGCCCATATTCCTAGTATGGATTTTGCATCCTAGTTAGGAATGCTTTTCCAGATTGTTGGTGAATTAACCCATGTTTTTTTTTAGAGCTGGTTGGCTATATTTTCACATTTGTATTTCTTTTAAATATATTTTTATAACTTTTCTTCTAACACTATGATTTACCAAGTTGTTCATAATACAATTGTTTTGTCATTAAATGCTCCAGCACCAATCCCACCACTAGTGTGCCCTTCCCTCCACAAATGTCCCACCCAGTACCTCAGCCTGCCCCCCAGATTTACTTCATTATACCTAAATTATTATCTGGAGCAGAAAAAGTAATCACAGAGCTAATGCTTGGATTAAGTAATATGAAATGGCGTTGAAATTGTACACGTATGTACATTGCTATTTGGTCTTAGGTAAACTAGATTTTATAAAGAGCCATATTTGAAAGACAGATGCTTTTGCCATATGTAGGTATTGTTATTTTTTTACTTTGTATCTTTTTTTAATCTTAATGAATTGTCCTGAGATCCACTTACAGACTTACAGACTTTCATGATTGCAGTTCAGTTGAACAATGTTCAAGTACCCATCCCTCCACCAGTGCCCATTTTCCAGGATTACTGTTTCCAGTATCCCTCACCCCATCCCCACCTCTTTCTCACCTCCTGCCTTTGTGGCAAGCACAACCCCTCCGGGAATTGTTTTTAGAGTGTGTCCTTTCCAAATACGGATTAGAAAAGACTTTTCTTATCGGATCTGTTTCTCTCATCACTAAACAGCGAATACAAAAAAACTCTATATTCAATTTTTAAAAGACATGGAAACTTTTTGATCAAATTTCTAAGATTTGTAGCATCTCTGGGTGTGACCCCCGCCTACTGGAATTTGGAGGATCTAGGTGGCGGATGCTCAGCCCCGATCCAAGTAGGCTTGGAGATCTCAGCCCCGGGATCCGCGTGTCTTTGTTCCTCTGCCGGTACCTTCATGTGTGCGGAGAGTGGTCTCAGCATGGTGGTGGCTGGGTGCCATCTTATCATCTCATTCCTACTTTGGACAAACTGGCAGGCTACCAAATCTAACCTGCGCACATGGGAGAGTCTGGCAAACTCCCCGTGGTGTACTCAATATGCCAAATACCAGTAACAATGAAGGGTCTCATTCTCCTAACTCTGAAAGAGCCTAGAATATGGCACTTTTAAAAAAAATCTCAGGGCTAGGACGAAGGAGACGTTACTGGGGCCTGCTCAAGGCAATCGACGAATAACAGGATGTTTGTGATTGTGTAGCATCTCTATAGCTCAGTAAGTAGAACCTCCAATCTTTGTCTAAAATGTTTAAAAGGGGCTGAGAGCCAGCTCAAGAGGTTGGACAGCATGCAATACAGGCAGGCGACGTGGGCTCAATTCCCAGCACTGCCTTTCTCGTGAGCACTGCTGGGTATCAACAAAAACATTTAACAAGAGATAGGGAAAATCCTTCAAAAGTTCTTGTCTCTAGAGGATGGAGCAATAGCACAAAAGGTAGGGCGTTTGCCTTGCACGCGGCTGACCCGGGTTCGATTCCCAGCATCCGATACGGTCCCCTGAGCGCCGCCAGGGGTGATTCCTGAGTGCAGAGCCAGGAGTAACCCCTGTGCAGCGCTGGGTGTGACCCAAAAAGCAAAAAAAAAAAAAAAAAATGGTTCTTGTCTCCATAAACTAATGATAATTGCCCCAGGGCTTTCTTGCGTTTATATTTTATAATGCTATTTGTATCACTATCACTATTTGTATAATCTACTTTAATATTCCTATAAAACATCCATAAACAAATCTCAAAGCAGTTTCACACGTCCACTGCATACTTTCTTTGGTACTATACTAGCCGAATACAACTCTGCTTCGAGAAAAAAAATAATAGCTATTCCCAGCAGACAAAAAAAAATGCACTTTTGCTGTCAGGTTTCACAAATCCCTAATCACTGCTTCGGGCGCCTTGCAAGGATCCAGTCGGGTCCGCGGCGGTCCGCTGGCAGCGCGGGAGCGGAGGCCGGAAGCACCCGCGCTCCGCCGGGGCCCACCGCGGCCCGGAACCTTATCCTCTCGGCGGCGCGCGCCACTCGGACCAACTCCTCAACTTCTGGCGGCCGCGAGCGCGGCGGAAGCGGGCACCGCTGGTACGTCACTTCCGGGGCGCCGGCTCCGTGGCCGGAAGGGAAGTGAGCCCGGCGACTGCGGGGCCCGGCTGCTGTGTGGCCCCTGCGTGAGGTGCCAGCCAGAGCCTCCCGTGGCGGCGGCGGGCTTCCGAAGAGCGCCCCGAGCGCCGCGTTCCCGCGGGACGACCAGACTCGCCGCCGGAGCTGAGCCTCGCCCCGCATTCCTGGCGTTTCTGTCACGTTCGTGAGCGAGCCGCGGTGGGTGCCTCAGCCTTTCTCTCTCGCCTTTCCGCCCCGGGGGCCGGCCGTGAGGGCGGCGCCTCAGCCCGGCCCGTGTCGCCGCCTCAGCCCGGCCCGTGTCGCCGCCTCAGCCTCTCGCCTTTCCGCCCTGGCGGCCGTGAGGGCGGCGTCGGCAGCCCGGGCGGCCCGTGCGTGCGTGTCTGTCTCCGCTGCGGCGCCTTCGCCTCCCGCCCCCTCAGGACGATGCTGCCCAGCACGGCCGTCGGCTCGCTCGCGCAGGGCAACGGGGCGCTGAGCTCCCGGGACGCGGCGCGCCACACGGCGGGCGCCAAGCGCTCCAAGTACCTGCGGCGGCTCTTCCGCTTCCGGCAGATGGACTTCGAGTTCGCCGCCTGGCAGATGCTCTACCTGTTCACGTCCCCGCAGCGCGTCTACAGGAACTTCCACTACCGGAAGCAGACGAAGGACCAGTGGGCCCGGGACGACCCCGCCTTCCTGGTCCTGCTCAGCGTCTGGCTCTGCGGTGAGTGCGGCCGCGAGGCGCCCACCGCACTATGCTCTGCGGGGTCCTGTGTCACCGACGCCCCGAGGGCGTTGGACACCGCCTCTCCCTTACCTACCGTCACCGAAATCTCACAAGAGGTGATTCTGCTCGCTTCTCTATGGGCCCAAAACCCGTGCCAGCGTGATTCGTACCGGCCCGGTTTTGAAAAGCAGAGGACGTCGATCACGGTTTTCAGTTGTGGTCAAATGATAGCTGACTGAAATCTCCCTGAGAAAATGAGGATCCAGCACAAGTCGCCCCTCACAAGCAGGCAGATCTGTAGTGAGAGGGAGGGCGAATTACGCGAAGCCGTCCGGTAGCGTAAGGAAAGGGCCGACCCGCGCTGTGGTGTGGAAGGGTGTGGTGTGAAGTGGACCGTTGCTTTTCTAAGGACAGGGCCCCTCTTGTGAGCATGGACAGAAAAACCCCTAGTGAGCGCTCAGTGTTCTCCACCCTGAGGTGGTGCGCCTCTCCTCATCCATCACACTTAGTACATCTTTGGGGGTTTGCTATTGTCTTGGTCTTCCTCAAAGACGAAACATCTAGAGAAAAGGGACTGTACCACGTGTCTCTAGACCCTAGCAAAGTGCGTGAATGAATCTTGTGAATTTTCCTTTTCAGTTTCCACGATAGGATTTGGCTTTGTGCTCGACATGGGATTTTTTGAGACGATAAAGCTGCTCCTTTGGGTTGTGTTCATAGATTGTATAGGCGTTGGTCTGCTCATATCAACTTTAATGTGGTAAGTACCATTGCATCGTTTTTTCAGATATTGCAGTCGTACCTGTGTATGCTTATTTAGAGGCATAATAGCTGCTGGAAATTGAAATATAATATAATTTTTGACCTCCGGGATCCCAATTTGTACTCCTGTATTAGTACTGAGAACATACTTGTATTTACTCATCAGAGTACAGCCAGTAATTGAATTAAAATGATGGTCATATACTAAAAAGTTAATGATTTAGAAAAAAAATATGCAGTTGACCAGTGACAGTTTTCTTTTGCATTTGTTTTTTGGGTTTTTTTTTTTTTGGAGGTTCTGGAGGTCACATCCAATGATACTTGGATTCCTCCTGACTCTTCACTCAGAAATCACTCCTGCTCTGGCCCCTCTGTTTTATTTGTTAGTGGGTCACTCTCAAGGTGTTTGTTTCAGGGACTCTCTTTGGCATTACATGAAGTACTCTTAAACAGGAATTTATTGTTAAACTTTTTGTGTCTATTGAGACATATATTACAAGCACATGCATACAGGCACTGAAATAATTATCATTCTGCCTAGACTCGAGCAAATTTAGTGGACTGGGACTGAGTATAAATCTGAGTGTGAGGCTGGAGCGATAGTATAGTGGGTACGGCGTTTGCCTTGCACACAGCCGACACGGATTTGATTCCCAGCATCCCATATGGTCCCCTGAGCACCACCAGGAGTAATTCCTGAGTGCAGAGCCAGGATAAACCCCTGTGCATCGCCAGGTGTGACCCAAAAGGGAAAAAAAATGAATTTAATGTTTGATTTTCAGTTTTTCCAAAGCTAAAAGTTCTCCTGTATAGTTGGCAAGTTAGATAAAGAGAATGGATATGGCATGCGATTCTTAGAGAAGAAAGGTGGTGGAGGATGTGGTGGTGATCCCACAGAACATTTTAGTCACAGAGTGGGGTTCTATGTTAGTTCATTCATTTACTGGGGAACCGTCCGAGTCTACTCTGTTGTCAGATGAGTTACTGCAGTGTAGTTTTTGGGAGTAGATTATCCTTTGGAAAGCACCTTGTATGTTACAGGTGCTCAATATTGGTAGCTCAAAAATATTACTATTTCAAAAAAGTTCTGAAATTATAACCTCTGTTAACATCGACATTTTATTTTACCATTGTACCTTTGACTAAGTTAGTTCAGTTTTGCCTGTATTCAAGCAGTGAGTTAATGCTTTGTATCATTAAACTAGGAATTAAAAGACCTAGCTAAAATTTGATACTGCTAACTAATCTAAGTCACATATCTGTTACCAAAATACCTATCGAAAGTGTATATGAAAGAATAGTATGTAAGATTTTAATATAGTTTGTTATGTGCAGACTCCATAGGATCGTAAAAATCACAGCAGCATGGAGTTCAGTTCCTATAGGAGACTTCATGTCATATTAGATTAAAGGCTTATGGTCTAGGGAGGTAGCTCAGAGGACCAGTGCCTGCCCCAAACAAACCTGGAGTAGCCCGGGAGCACCAGTGGAGTGATAGGACAGTGGGTAGGGCTCTTACCTGGTATGCAGTCAACCTGGGTTCAGTTCCCAGCATCCTATGGTTCCCCTGAGCCCACCAGAAACGCAGATCCAGGAATGATCCAGGAGTAAGTCCTGAGCACTCCCAGATGTGGCCCTCAGTTTTTTTTTTTTTTTCAAGAAAAAGACTCAATGTATTTGGTTGTATTATGAATCATATGAGGAACTAGAAACAGAAAAAGCACAAGTAACTGTGATCCTCCCTATGACACCAGCCTGTGGCATCCATAGCATCCATGTTCCTCTTCCCCTTCTTCTAATGATGGCCATCCCAACCAGTCTGAGGTGATAACTCAGCGGGGAAGTACTGCAGTGCTGGTGGAGTGTGTGCATTGCATGTACGAGGCATACTCTCCATTAAACTTCTTCCTCACGCCTCCTGGTTTTGATGTGCATCTCAAATGAATACTAGTAATACTGGGGTGTCTTGTTATGTGCTTGTTGTATCTATTGACCTTTAGCATATCTTTTTGCATGCTTGTTTTTGTTTGGGGGCCACACACAGCGGTGCTCAGGGTTTATTCCTGGCTTTCTGCTCAAGGATTATTACTGGTGGGCTTGGGGAACCATATGGATGCTGGGGAATATCTTCCCTCATTCTGTCGTGGAAAGTTACATTAACGTTTCTCTATTTCTTTCTGGGATGTCTTTTTAGTTGCAAAGAAACTTTTATGATTCTTTAAATTTCTGTTATATCAGTTGTAGTAACTTTTTAAGTAAAGATTGATTTGTCTAACTTAGGGTTTGTGAATTTTGTCTAACTTTCAAAGAACATACTCTTAAGTTTTATTAGTTTTTCCTGCTGTTCTCTTCTCTATTCTACTCAAATATTTATTTTTTTATTTCTTCTAACTTTGGACTCAATGTGATGCATTTTCTCTTTTTTTTTTTTTGGAGGGGGGTGGGTAATGGGACACACCCACTGTGCTCACGGCTTAAGTCTGATTCTGTGCTCAGGGATCATTGCTGGCAGACTCAGGGACCATATGGGATACCAAGTCATTGTGGGCAAGGCAAGCAAGTCCTGTACTCTCGGGCCCCTGCGCATGAATTTTCTTAACTTTGTTCTGCCTTTCTTATCATTCACTAAACTTCCTTCACAGGATTATTCTGAATCCTTTGACAGTTTATAAGTTTTTAGATAGTGTTTTTTCCCTAGGCCATACCTGGCGGTGCTTGGGAACAACTTCCCACTAATTACTTGAGGGTTACTCCTGGCCTGGGGAACCATCAGGCACCAGGGATTGATCCTAGGCTTCCAGAGATTCAGTAAGTACTCCAGATCAGAACCATTTCCTGGGGTCACATCTCAGTTTCTGTAGGGTCAGATTTTAGAATTGTGTTAGTCTGTTTTGGTGATGTCATATGTACCTGATTTTTCTGTGATTCTTGATCCTATATTGTTATCTGTACATTTGAGTAATGACACCTTCTTTCTGGCTTGACGGTACATTTTCATTAGCTTTTTTTTTTTTTTGGCAAAGACATTTCACCTGCTCCATTTAGGACTGGCTCTGGCTTATGTACATCCAGTATCTGGGACTGACTCAATGTACATCGGGTGTCGAGAACTTGCTTGTGTACATCCAGTGCCCGGGACTGGCTTGGACTGGCTCGTGTATGCTGTCTACAGTTGGCTCGTGTACATCCGGTGTCCAGGACTAGCGTGTGTGTGTATGCCCAGTGTCTGTGACTGTCTTGTGTTCAGGACTGGCTGTGGGCAGGCCCCACAATCGTCTGTACTCTGCAGACTTCCTGCATGGCCAGGAATGGGGGTCATGTTTAGCATGAGAGAAGGCTCTAAGTTAATTGTGAGTCACTGAGTTTGTTCTGGAATCACGGGCAGCCCTGCAGGTCAGTGGGTTAGAGTCTGACCTCCTTTCTGGGCAGAGGCAGTCCCGGGTCTAAGGTAAGGTGCTTGAGAAGGATATGGGATATAGTGTCAGGTCCCTGATGGAGTGTGTGCGCACAGGAGCCATTCAGAGAGCCTGGCTGCTGGGGGCACTGCTGCTTGGGTACTGCAAGTGTAAACTACTGTCTGCCAAGCTCCTGCCCCCTTCTTTGCCAGCTCAGATTTCCCCCAGAATCCCTGTGGGCAGGATCAGAATCAGGCCTTACTCAAGTGCCCAGTGCTCAGCAGGGCTCCCTCACTGCCCTCCCTCTAGCCCTGGGTGCTTCTGCACTGCTGAGACCTCTCCACAGACAGACACTTAGGCCCATGTTACAGCACTTCCTTCTCATAACTTCTCAGCCTGGCCTCTCTGGTGGCAAGAATGGCATCAGCCCCCCCAAGGCTGGAGCATACTCTGTGCTCTCTTTTTCTGGAGTGGCTCCTATTGGGGACAGGAGTAAAGACAGTATTTGTCGTGTTGTTGATGTTCCTCCACAACTCTCCACATTTAATGTGCTTTCCCCTGTGTCCTCTGTCCCTCTGTTGCCTGTTTATTCATTGAAGTAGTTATGTTGCTGTTGGTTCTTTTCTCACTAGGTACAGAGATGGTAGAAAATAGGAAATTCGTTTTATTTTAAAATGACTGTGGACTTTGCCTTTAGGTTTGTCTCTAATAAATATTTAGTGAAGCGGCAGAGCAGAGAGTGTGATGTGGAATGGGGCTACGCCTTCGATGTGCATCTGAATGCTTTTTATCCCCTCCTTGTCATTCTGCACTTCATCCAGCTTTTTTTTATCAATCGTAAGTAGCTGTTACTTCTCAGAACATTGTCAAGATTTTTTTTTTTTTGTATGCCCCAAAGAAGATTGATTGTCTGTATCTCTCTGGCAGATGTTATCCTAACAGACACGTTTATTGGATATTTAGTTGGAAATACCTTATGGCTGGTAGCAGTTGGCTATTATATCTATGTAACTTTCCTAGGATATAGTGGTAAGTAAAAATTTTGGGGGGGAGGGGGAAAACCCAACTATTGTTCTTTGGTTGACTGGAAAATTAACAGCGATATGAAAAGTTGTTTCGATAATTGAAACTCTAAAAATCCTTCAAGAGCATTTACAGATACTTCTATATATATATATGAATTATATTTATTATACTTATATATGAATTATACTTAGCAGCTCTGTTATGTGGGTATATTTAGTTTCATGTTTCAGATGAAGCTTCACTTGCCTATGGTCTGTAACAAGGAGGTAGAATTGATGGCATATGACAGATTTTATAATCTAAGATTTTATGTTAAACCATACTATTTCCCAGTTAGCGGAACTTGCCAGTTCTGGTTTTGTCAGCAATAGGTTAGAGTGAGGAAAGCTTGAGTCCAGTGTAATGAACGCATGAATATATGAATGTTCATGTATTCAAATCTTTGCCACCTTCTCTTTTTTAATTGTTTTGTTTTGGTTTTTGCTTCTGTTTTGAGCCCCACTCAGCTCTCCTCGGGGCTTACTCCTGGTTGTGCTCAGGGATCACTCGGCTGGGTTCATTTTTGGAACTGGAGATCGAGCCCAAATCGGCCACGTGCAGGCAAGTGTTGCACCTGCTGTACCAGCTCTGCAGCACCTCTTTTTCTTTTTTGATGACCAGAGACCAGGCCCAGCCTTTATTCATCTCTGAACATACTTGCAAATTAATTTGTTTGCAAACATTATTACCAAGTCCTGCTAGCAGTTCATGCTTACTATGAATGAGAAGCGTTTGCTTCATTCTTCATATGTATTAAGGAGTTATTTCCAGGACTGGAGCGATAGCACAGTGGGTAGGGCGTTCGCCTTACAAGCGGCTAACATGGCCGACCCGAGTTCGATTCCTCCGCCCCTCTCGGAGAGCCCGGCAAGCTACCGAGAGTATTTGATATGCCAGACACAGTAACAACAAAGTCTCCAATGGAGACGTTACTGGGCCCGCTCGAGCAAATCGACGATCAACGGGAGGGCCTTTTATTTCCAGTAAATAAAGATAAATATAGAGATATCACGATTTGTTAGCCTTATGGTTAGCCCTTCACTGTCATGTGAAGTGAAGTGTTTGCTTCATTCTTCATATGTATTAAGGAGTTATTTCCAGTAAATAAAGATAAATACAGAGATATCACGATTTGTTAGCCTTATGGTTAGCCCTTCACTGTCATGTGAAGTGAAGCGTTTGCTTCATTTTTCATATGTATTAAGGAGTTTCCAGTAAATAAAGATAAATATAGAGATATCACGATTTGTTAGCCTTATGGTTAGCCCTTCACTGTCATGTGAAGTGAAACTGCTCCACCCCTACATGAGGAACTGCTCGGCCCTAGTAAGATTGTAATTTTGCTTTGGGGCAGTCCTTGTTTTTTTATCTTTTACTAGTTTAGGGAGATGTGTGATGTTACACTCAGGTTTCTCATGACTATTGATTAGAACTCTACAACGTTGTGTTTTTTTAGGAATAATACTGTTATCATTTTGGTAACGCTCTCCAATTTAGAATAGTTTGAGTGCAGCTGCATTTCAGCTGGGTCTCCTGCATGAGAAATACCTAAGTTGGGTCATGTGGGAACAGACCTTACACTGAGGTTGTTTAGGTCTTTGATCAAAGAGTTCGGGTACTAGTTGAGCCCTAACTTTCCCAGGATGGGAAGTACAGTGCTTCCAGTGGCAAGAAATCTCAGCCAGCTGAATTCTTAGAGATTTTGATACAGGCATTGGTGCTCTTGTTCGTGTTCCTGATGTTCCCCACTCACTCTAAACCTTGCAGTTCAGATTTGCTGGAATAATCCCTTTCTGGTTTTCTCAGCTACGAACAAGAAAGAACTAATGGTAGAGGAGAGATGGCAGTGTAATTCTGTCTCTTCTGCTGATTCAGTGTGCATTCTCTTAGGCATCCCATGTTATAATTGGAGCAGCCTGTTTATTAGGCATTTTAAAAACTGAGTTTCTTTCTTTTCCAGCATTGCCATTTTTGAAAAAAACAGTCACTCTTCTCTATCCGTTTGCACCTCTCATTCTGCTCTATGGACTGTCATTAGCACTGGGCTGGAACTTTACCCACATGCTGTGCTCCTTCTACAAGTACAGAGTGAAGTGAAAAAAGCAAGATGATCTGAATTGTATCAACAGTATTGGTGAAATGACGATTTCTTGTAAAACTTGTAAATCATTGTAGATATCTTAAAATTAAAACGATTGCAGATTTGTGTAAGTATATGTTAAAACTGTTGTTCAGTACATTCCTTTAAACTAACTAAAGGTACATCATAATAAATATTTTTTAAAATAAAGCATGCTTTTTATTCATTCTAAGATGGCTACATATACAAAATTAACATAGATATGCTTCCTCCCTATGCAAACCAAGGTTTTTTGTTTTTGACCAATACATGGCAGTGCTCAGGGCTTACTCTTGACTCTGCTCAGGGACCACTCCTAGTGGAGCTCAGGGGAGTATCTGAGGTACTAGAGATAGAACCCAGGTTGCCTTGAGCAAAGCAAAATGCTTTGCCCACTGTACTATCACTCTGGCCCCAGTCTGCACTACTTCTAATAGGCTGTATGATCCAGACTAACCTTCAGAAGCCTCCATGGAGAGAGCTTTAAGATGTCAGTTTAGAACAATCCTGCACCACTTTTTTCTTCAGACATGGCAGATAAAGTCACATATGGAACGGTTCTGTGGAAAGAGGATCTGAGTGAGCTAAACGTTTCCCCAACAAGGAGCAATGCTTCATGCAAGATGACAGACAGAGATGTGGTACTCTCAGGAAATACTTGTCAGGTACAGGGACCCACAGCTGGGAGAGACCCTGTAATACAGCTTTGGCTTAACAATCAGGAGGCCATATCCAGTGCCTGGGACCTGTACTGGAGCAATGGGTCCATCAAAAAACTTGAGTTTTGAAAACCAGTGAGAGTTGGAGCAGGAAATTTAAGGAGCAGTGTGAAGTAGAGCCTTCTCTTCTGGGCTGCACATGTGTCCTCTTTAGAGCTCATCAGTACCTCCCAGAAAAGAAATGGTACTCCCTCTCTAGAAGCCCAGTTCATGACTCTTAAGTACCATGGGGTCTGGAAGCCAGCAGGGTTTATGAGAGCAGTCCCAAGGGATCATACATAATTGGCGTATTTAAAGACTAACCCATGAAGCTCTGGGCTCCAGTCAACTCTGAATCGGGTGTAAGAAGACATTCCTCCCTTTGTATACTACCTAGGCGGCCCAAAGTTGGATAGAACCCAGAAGCCAGGGTAAAGTTGAACAAAATTCTTTAACACCCACACAGAGCCACCCACAAGAGTGACAGGGTTGTTTTGCCTAATACATAGAAACAAAGTCCAACAAAATGAGTAAAAAGGAATATGTTCCAAATATGAACAAGATAAAATCTGGGGAAAGACCTTAAGTGGAGACAAGAAATTTTTTTTTTTTTTAATTTTTATTAGTAAAACACCATGAGGTACAGTTGTAGACTTACACATTTTTGTGCTTGGGTTTCAGTTACATAATGATCAAGTACTCATCCCTCCACCAGTGCCCATTCTCCACCAACACTGATCCCAGTATCCCCCCATCCCACCCTGCCTCTGTGGCAGGATATTCCCTCTTGTTCTCTTCTCCTTTTGGGTGCTGTGGTTTGCAAAAGAGGCATTGAGTGGCAATCATGTTCGGTCCATAGTCTACCTTCAGCATGCATCTTCCATCCTGGGAGGATACTCCCAACACCCTTTATTTGGTGCTTCCTTCTTATCTGAACTGTGTGCGGCTGGCCTCACAAGCCATGGAGTAAACCTCCTGGTGCTTATCTCAGCTATTGGGTGTTAGTCTCCTATTTTGCTACTTTATGTTCCCCAGATGAATGCACTCTTTCTATGTCTGTCCCTCTCTTTCTGACTCATTTCGCTTAGCATGATACTTTCCATGTAGTACCACTTGTATGTAAATTTCATGACTTGATCTTTTCTAACAGCTACATAGTCATTTATTGTACTTATATTAAGAGTGAGAACTAGACAATAAGAGGTAGTGCGGACAAAAATGCAGCTGCACGCTTCCAGGAGCTAGGTTTTATAGTCTCTGGATCCCGGCTGTTGATGGGATCACATGGTGCTGGGGGCAGTTGGTGGGTGTAACTGCCTAGCTACCGGAAGATGGGGGATCTGGGTGGAGGATGCCCAGTCCCAATCCGAGCAGGCTGGAGATCTCAGCCCTGGATCCTGCACACCTGGGTTCTTCTGCTGGTTCCTTCATGTGTGAGGCTAGTCTCAGCGTGTGGAGAGTGGTCTTGAGCATGGCTTTGGCGGGTTCCTGAGGTTCCTGAGCTGCTGGGGCTCTGCTCGGGGCAGGGAGGGAAACTCAACCCACCCCCCTCCAAGGGGCCCTGGTGAAGACAGCCAGGCTCGGGGACAGGAGACTCTGCATTGTCCTCTTCCTGGAGCTTGGTTTATAGTCTCTGGATCCTGGCTGTTGATGGGAACTGTGTATTCAATTAAAAACATTTTTTTGAAAAAAGATAGCTTAAAGAGACGTTTGGACAACACCCACTGTAACAACAACCACTTCTTTCTCATTGTGTTAGAATGACTGGTGGGCTGGAGAAAGCTAGATGGGAGAGCTTTGCATGTTAGAGGCAAGGGTTTGATCTCTGACGATGCGGGGGGATGGGGAGGTCCTGGGGGTTCCAGGAGCATCCACCAAGGAAGAAGCTAGGAGTGGCCCATGAGCACTGCCAGGTGTCCCCTCCACAAAAAAAAAAAAAAAAAAAAAAAAAAAAACCACCAAAGAACCAAGCTAAATGATGTTCAAGAACCTGTTGAGAAAAACATTCCACTCCAAGGCAAAAACATTTTCTTCAGTGCCTGTGGAACATTTTTCAAATTTGGCTACAAGTTTCAATAAATTTGTCTTAAAATCATATCAAGCATATTCCCTGACCACTCACATTGTGGTAGGGCGTTTGCCTTGCAAGCAGCCAACATGGCTGACCCAAGTTCGATTCCTTTGCCCCTCTCGGAGAGCCTGGCAAGCTACTGAGAGTATCTCGCCCGCACGGCAAAGCCTGGTAAGCTACCCGTGACGTATTCGATATGCCAAACACAGTAACAACAAAGTCTCACAATGGAGATGTTACTGGGCCTGCTCAAGAAAATCGCTGAACAACGGGACGACAGTGACAGTGATTCACACTGTGTAGATTAATGTAAGCGTGTAGATTAATGCACTGACTCAGCTGCCACAGTCCGTGGCCAGGCACATCTGATGTGAGACCCCTGCGGCACACACCATCCTCAGCAAGCGGAACAATGTGCTACTGGAAAATCAAAGGAAATTAATCCCTGGAGATAATCTAGAATGAAACATAAAACAAAGCCTAATATAAAAAGAGAACAGAAATGGAAATAGGAAAGAATAATGAACAAATCCCAATATGGAAGAAAAATAATAGACTAGAGGGCAAAGGCCACAGGAAAGAATGAAACCCAGACAGCGCAGATTGTCCGAGCAGGCACAACTGCCGACCCCTTAGCTAGACAAAAGGAAATCTAAAATCAAAAGTGAAAGTATTACATAATGCAATCAAAAACCAGAGGGTCATAAGACCTACAAACATTTACACATCAATAAATTGGGCAACCTATAAGAAATGAATACATTCTTAGGATTATAATTGCCCAACATTGAACCATAAAGAAAAATAATCACTTGATCACTTGACTTCCCATTAATCATCAATTTACTTGAGCGTAATGTCTCCATTTGTCCCTATCACGTGCTACTGTAGCCCAATGGCATTCTAGGAACACGAAGAGCCTCAAATCAATCATTCAGGGTCTTGACGAAGAAGTCTGACCATCTTGTAGATGGGCGGCCACACGGTCTTTTGATGTCCCGTGGAATCCACTCGGTAACGACTCTAGTCCTGCGGTTGTCTCCAAATCTCATTACGTGTCCAGCCCATCTGATTTTCGATACATTGGCAAACAAGACAGCGTCCCTGATTCTTGATCGTCGACCGAGGTCGGAACTCTGGATTCCTTCTCTCATTTGAGTGAAACGTGATACTCCAAGCATAGCTCTTTTGATTCCTCTTTGGGCGACCCGAATAGCGTTCTCATCTTGTTTTCGGTAGGGCCCAGGTCTCTGAGGCGTATGTTAATGCAGGAAGAACAGTGGAATCAAAGATTCCACTACCTCCACTACCCAGCTCATTCCAGGACACTTTTGGACACTCGGGTCTAGACTCACGCATGACTGAAGCCCCACAGAACAAGATGAGCGGAACTCTGAGACCTTGGACTCCAGGCTCAACAGACCCGGTGACAGAGATCCTCTGCCTGCTCCCACCAACCACAGGTGATGAAGGGATTAAAACCAGGAGCCCCACCCTACCCTGCCCAATCTGCTTCCACCAACCGCCTGAGACCCAGGGATTGGATTACTCACAGAAGACCCATCCTACCCCTACCAGTACCAGATAAATACTCACTGGCAGACCTCACTACCTCCACTACCTCCACTACTCAGCGCTGCCACACTCCAGGACGCTTTCCAGACTGCAACACATTATAACACACTTAATACCCTCTTCCAGGATTGCCACACCATATTTTATAGGCTTCAAATATGGTTTGAACCATGGGAACACCTAAAAGGGCGATTAGAGGCCACCCCAAAAGACTCTATCCCTCTCGGAGAGCCTGGCAAGCTACCGAGATTAATCCGCCCACATGGAAGAGCCTGGCAAGCTATCTGTGGTGTATTTGATATGCCAAAACCAGTAATTACAATGGGTCTCATTCCCCTGACCCTGAAGGAGTCACCAATATGGCAGCGTTGAGAAGGATGAGGAAGGAGAGGCTGATAAAATCTCAAGGCCGAACTAGGCTGTCAAAACGAAGAAAGACAAAAATGATTGTCTTTCAATGCATGTACGCTGGCATCAAAGAAAAATAATATAAGATAACTATGCAAATGGAGCATCAGGAACAAGACTGTTTCTTATAAACATTGTCTTCGTGAGATTCAGCTGTAGTCCGACCTTTCCACACTCACGGTTGAAGTCGGCCAGCATTTGTGCCACTTTGCTAATGTTTGGTATTATTAGAATGGTGTCATCAGCAAAGCGGAGGTGGTGTAGTTGCCGACTGTCTAACTTCACGCCCATTCCTTCCCATTCCAGTTGGCGCATGACGTTCTCGAGGGTGGCACCGAAGAGTTTTGGTGAAATGGTATTACCCTCCCGAACCCCTCTCTTGACATGGATGATCATTTCTTTGTAGACTGGTGAAATCC